TTGCTATTGCTATTGCTATTGCTATTGCTATTGCTATTGCTATTCTGATTGAAAGATAACAATACAGAGTTTGTCAGTAGATTCTTTGAGTACTTTTCAGATCACAAATTTGCTACGTAAGAAATTGAAGGAATCCCTCATGTAAGATCTTATTCAATGAACATATTTATTTTCAACACATTAGCACCTTTGCATATTTTCATTGCAAAAAACAAACAGCGTATGAGATTCAGAGAGTGTTTATATGCAAGTGGCATTTAGTATGTATTTTGTCTTGTGCAAAAAAAAAACCCAGTAAGTTCCCCAGTTACTGAAAAACATGTAATATTAAATGACTTATCTTTCTTTCTTTCCTTGCCTTATAGGTGGCAGCTTTAAATAATCATGAAGATTTGGTTGCATTATTATTAGAGAAGGGAGCAGATCCTGATATTAAAAATGAGGTATTATATTTCTTTCTCTCTGCATACAATACCTACCTACATAGTATATAAAGAGTAAGTTGAATGTGTCATTTGTTTAATGTTATTTTTCAGTTTGGTAAGAATGCTCTGGACATGGCCAAAGGCTTGAACAGACAGGTAGGAAACTATCTTTCTTGAATTAATCATTTCTAGTTTTTTAAACATTCTTTATCCTCTGGTGATTAACTTGCTATTTTTTCCCCCTTTTTTAAGAGTGTGGTTTCAATAATAGAAGAAAAGAAAAATCAATTAAGCAATTCAGCTGTTGATCTTGGATCTACCCCTTCCCTGTTATTTGAAGAAAGTGCATCTTAATCTTTGTTTTTCCCAGGAAGGTGAGACTATGAAGATTGACTTTTGCTTGTTTTCCTTTTTCCTGTAAGGTTTTTAAAAATCATTCTTGGACAGTTTGATTAAAATGTTTCCTTCTTGAGGATTTTCTCTGGCATTTTACATTTATCTGGATTTTAAAATGGTCTTTCTTTAATGATGTTTTTTATAGTAATACTATGTTCTTTTATCCTTTGGAGATTGATTTTAAAACTCAAATGCTAGTTACAATTATCCCAACTCAATGTAGAGTTTGTCACATGATATGTCCCGCTTGAATTTTTCACTAGCTGGATAGGAACTATAGAATTTGGGCACTTTTAACTCTCTTATCAACCATGATCCTATTTAATGTCAATGAAAACATTTTCTGCTCGGAAAGTAGATGCTAATGAAGATATATGTCTAGGATATAGCAAAAAAAATAAATAAATCACTCTGCTCCTATCATATGCTTATTCCTGCTGCCCCCCTCCCCCAGTTACCTGGATCCTCTGTTTTTTTTCAAGAATCAAGCAGCCAATGGCAAACTGTAACAACCAGTTTATCAAAGCATCCAATGCCAGAGATTTGCAGTGCAAGGTTTTAGCGTAACAGGTTTTCTGCAATAGAACACATTGAGAATAGCAATTGACAGAGTAGGAAATAGCTCATGGTCAGGATCTTGAACATAATCCTAACGACTGCTCATATAATTCTGAGTAGTTAAGGCTAGTGCAGCTTTACATCATGCAGGAGTTTAGTAGTTGTAACTTGGCCTTATATAGAGAGGCACTTGAAGCACAAATCACAGTCCCCATAATAAAGCATGCAATCCTAACAGACATTTAAGACTGAGAGTATACTATTGACTATACAATAGTGGGATTTATTTCTTTGTGAACATTCATTGGGATGCTCTTTTAGGGCATTAGACTGTTCAGACCTCTCTGAATATATTTCATTGAACTTAAATGGAAATTCTGGTTAGATGTTTGGAATTGTATTGTAAAATACAATTTGCAATTGTAAATTGTTAATAAAAAAATCAATGTTTTTTAATTGAAAAAAATAATTTGTTCTTACATGGCCAAACTGAATTTGTATCTATATGTGTAGAGTGTTCTCCAAATACTATATTCCTGTTTAAAGGTGACAGCCAATGTAACCAGCTACATTTCTAATATTTCTGTTAAAGCCTGACATTCCGAAAGCCATTAGAAATCTACTGGGATTTCCATTTGGATTCAATAATTATTTTGATCAAATGAACTCGGTAGGAATGGATTCATAGCCATTTTTCTTCCTATATCCTAAAGCCAATGGAAGAAATACTATCGGTTTTTTTCACAGACATTTGAGTCTAAAACCTACTCATAAAATGTAGGCATATTTTCTACCTATATTTTGTTTTGCTTTATGAAATGCAATGCAGTTTAAGTTACAGACTTATGGGCTTAGAGAGATCACTCTATGACTATAGAATAAGACAAATTTCATTATCTGGGGCAGGGAGAAGGAAGACCAAGCATGGAGGAGATTCAAACTTGAAACTGCCATATATATTGTAGCTCATAAAAATTTGTTTAAAACCTCAGTTGTCCAATTTTGGATCTGATGTCAAAGAAAGAAAATAGAGATAGGTAAATGGACCAACTATCAGTATACTAGGAGAGGCTGTGCCATATTCCAGACAGGGGAAAGGAGAATTTTATAACCTCTAGAGCTAGCTAAAAAATTACCTGTTAGGAAAAAAAAATTTTTTTCTGCTGAGAGGTTCCAGAAAACATTTTGGACCTCTCGTAGATTCTAATGTATAACTCTTTATACTAATCTTCAGGATTGCTCTTTCTAATTAGAAGAGCATAATTAAGTTTTTCATAACATTTTTGCAGTAAAACATCCTCCCCTTGTTGTCTTTGTGCCTCTACAAAGGGATAGAGATAAATACAGGAAGATATAAAATGGAAATGAAACAGTTGGAAAAAATAATTGGCCCATTCTCATTTGTCTCCCAATTCAATTTGTTGCCTCAAACTGCATTTGCTAAAAGAAATTAACATTCCTATTACAGCCAAACTTCATTCAACTGAATATCTTGTACTTTAGCATTCAGTATTTATTCTTAAAAGATAAGCCAACATTGGAAACAGTTTGAAAGCTCTTCTTCTTTTATGCCAGAATTTGAGCCAAATTTCCATGTTACGTCATAAGCACACCATTCATTAAATTCAGATTATGCCATGGTAATTGGATATGGGTTTACCTCAATTGTTCTTTAACATAAGCAACCTGAAAGAATCCTTCCAAGTATCTTGTCATAGAAGGATCAGTGATGCAAGATAGATCAGATTATAGAACATCAAGCACATAAATAGGAAATAGTTTAAAACCCAAACTTTTTCTAATCTTGTAAAGATCTACTGTAGCTTCTCTGGGCAGGTCAAGGTTAACAATTACAATGTAAACCATGTATGATGCAATAGAATCAGTGTGGCTGTTTTTAAAAATATTGTTATGATTTTGAATTATGATACCTGGCAGAGACTTTTGTAGACACAAAGGTGTAGAGCTGATTAATGAGTAACATAAAGCAAACACTAGACCAGTGTTTCTCAACCTTGGCAACTTGAAGATGTCCGGATTTCAACTCCCAGAATTTCCCAGCCAGCAAATGCAAATGCTGGCTGGGAAATTCTGGGAGTTGAAATCCGGACATCTTCAAGTTGCCAAGATTGAGAAACACTGATTTAGGGAGAGAAAAATCAAAACAGATTCAAACTTAGAAGTCCAAGTAATCAAGCAGGTGTCTTGCCTCTAGATTTCTCTTTGTTAAC